AAACAATTTGTACAATGTATTTTTTTAAGTGTCTGCTGGCTTTTTGGATCTGCATATCAGGCACAAGGAACGTTGGCTCACAAGCTCATCTCTTAGATGAATGTGTAAGCCAACTCTTTAGATAACTCAAGGGAAACAAAGAAGAGGAAACCTGCTATTTTTGACCATTGCAATGAGCAGATTAACTACTGATCCAGGTTGTTTTGTTGAATTGAACCTGATTTGCTTTATAATAATAATAATAATAATCCTTGCATTTTATATAGCGCTTTTCACGTCTTCAAGACATCTCAAAGTGCTTCACAGAATCGACTGTAAAGTGAATTGACTGTATATTTGTGGGATATATATAAAGGCAGCAGCCAATTGCGCACAACAGTGTCCCACAAACAGTCGTGGATTGAAAATGACCAATTTGTTATTGTTTTGTTTTTTGGAGGGATTATTAATAGGCATGTGGAGTAAGGAAACTTGCCCAAGGTTTCGCCCTGCCTGGAATTGAACCCTGGTGTCTCGCTTGCAAGGCGAGGGCTCTAACCACTGAGCTACAGGACTCCACAATGCAACCTCATCAATGTCCATCAGAGCAGGGCCAGGCTGCCCAGTATTACATTTTGAATGGTTGGCTGTATTTAGTTGGCTTCCTAATTATTTTCAATGTGTATTGGGGTGAAGAGATCAATGAAGGAATGCTACCTGTCGAATCCTTGCTCATGGGTCGCTATAGTTTGTAAGGCAAAATCTGGATATAAGCCTATGTAGCACCTGCCAAAGGATGAATTCATCATCGATAACATAGAAAGGAAAGCGTAGAAAAAGACAGAGGTTCATCAAGTTCACTCCCAGATTCCATTCCTCCAATATACCTTCCGAACAATATTCTAACTACACTACTTCTCTCTCTGTTTGCTGGTCACTTAGCCTCCTCCTGGTGGAGGCAAAAACACAGAGAGAGAGCTTAATAGTACATTCAAAGGGCTGGATTTAGCACCCCTTACTCTAGAAGTACAATCTGCTTTTCACCAAACATTGCGTCTTATTTGTGAAAATGTCAATCTTTCCATACCAAAATGAAGGTGCTCGCTTGTAATAAAGATTCTAAGTACATGCATGTGGAAAAATTATTTGTATGAAATAATTTGACTGTTCAAACACTGGAGATGTTTTTCTACAATTACTTGGACAATTTTTATATGAAGCATATTATATAATTACGTATGAATATGTTAGACTTCTAAGGAGAGAAATTCCACCTGGATCTAAATTTACTCTAAAACACATTTTGTAGGATCCAGAATTTGGCAAATTCTTAAATTCAACCTAAATCTTTTAAAAACTACAGAACACTGATTTCAAAGTCTTGTTTTTGCATGTAGAAAGTAATTTATCTCATGATCTTTTAGTTATTTGCTATTTTGAATCTAACTGCTTATTTAGAATCCTTTTTTTCTTGCACACCTCTGCATGTGGCATATTTTTGAAATATTTTTGTTTTGCTCACTATAATTATCCAAGCTTTACATGACCTCTCTGTATCAAAGATGGAATGTATTAATTGTTACTTATGTTTTGCCATCTAAAGCCTAAAGTTCTATCTAGTCTTAGCCTATAAGACTGGTTAGTCTTTGAATGTAATATTGTGCAGAATTGTGAAAAGTTCTTTTTCTCAAAGTTCTTTGCTAGTGCATTAGAGGACATTGAGCAGAGAAAAGGGAGATTGATGAATCTTGACCAAAAAGCAGTTGCTGAGATATGTTTCCAAGTGGGTTTTAAAGGCTGGGAGAGCAGAAGAAATGTAAAGAAATTGTGGACCAGAATTCCAGAGAACAGCAAAGTAGTGGCTGAAAGGCTTGATCACTAATTGTGTGACAGAAGGAAGCAATAAACCAAGATCAGAACATCAGAATATATAGGCAAGAAAATAAGGCTGAGAGATATAATAAATATTTTTTGCATTTGGTACAGCTAGCGCCTTTCATGTCAGGAGGATGTCTCAAAGCACTTCACAGGATTTACTGTAAAGTGGAGCAGCTGTATTTTTTGTCGCGAACATGGCAGCCAATTTGTGCATAGCAATGTTCCACAAACAGGCATGAAGTGAATGACCAATTTTTTCTGGGGAATTATTGGCTAGATCACCAGGAGAAACTCTCTCTCTATTTTCAAATGGTAGCAAGGTATCTTTAACTTCCACCTCAACAGGCAGATGGGACCTATAGGATCTCACCTAAAAGAATGAAAGAATAGGAATCGACAAAACCATTGGGATTTGAACTAAGAACAAAGATCTTTGAGTCAATCTGCTAGATCACTGAGAGTCAACAGATCTTGAGAGTCAACGAGAGTCAACAGATCTTGACAAAGATGGGAGCAATGGGTTTATGGAGAATAGAGCAGGAGAGAAAATGCATTGGATCTTCTGAAGAATGGAATTACGAGGGTGCCTGGAAGGAGTTGGAAAAAGTTTACCTCGAACATAAATAATGATTTTGGCAGCAGTTACTTGGTAAATGTTCTTAAGTGGGCTTTCTGCTCATTTTTATTGAGTAGTGGAACATCAGCTCCCATATTGTTTTAAGTAATATGAATCTATTGCTATTTACGTGATGCAGTTACATCTCTTGACCTGAGTGGCACTGTATAACTGCACTGATAGCTTCTGCCCAGTGTCACCGATGTACTATCTCTACTGTATAGTACTGATTTTTACTGAAAGTCTAGTAATATCACATCTCTTCCAAATAAGCATCATATTACTTTGTTGCCTGTCTACAACATTGTCGAATGGTGAAGACATCCAGCTGATTGTATCTATTATCTATGATAAAACTTGGAAAAGTTAAATACATATCTATCATTATACAATTCTTTAAATAACAATGCATATCGATCGTTATTCAGTTCTAAAGAAAGGGAAATACAATTTTAAAAAGTAGCACATGGACGCTGCATTGCATGTTGTCACCAAATCTGCCAGTCACATAAAATTGTATTTACTAATTGTACGACTGACTGTAACTGGAGTAATTGATTATTGGACATTTGATTGCACTTTCAATCGCAATAATAATTGCCTAAATGTTTTCTATAAATCTGATCCTATTAAATAAAACCAATGTGTCTCCTGATTTAATCATGAATTAAAAGCCAGAAATTTGATATTTTCCAGTGAATCAGCTAATTACTTAAGTGTTATTCAAGCAGCCATAAGCTTCAATTTCTCAAAATTATGTATCTAATAAAATAAATTGATACGGTGATAGAGGAAATTGTTTCTAGGAATAATGTAGTATTAATTAATGGTATTTATTGTCAACAAGGCATTGTTTTGCAATAAGACTATCTTAAACTTAAACAGAGCTTAGAAACCATCTTGTTGCTCTTCTCTGATCCTCCCAAAGCATCATTAACTTTTTGAAGGTAGAATGCCTCAAATTGCTGATTATATTCTAAATGTGGCATCACCATTGCTCAATACCAGCTTAGAATAATGTTTTGATCAATAACCACGCCCAAATCCATTTGTTCTTTATGGATGCCAGTAGACACACCTTCATTGTGTACATAACTTTACTGTTTCTGATTCAGTGCACACTGATTTTATATCAACATTCAGATCCAACTGTCATTCCTTAGTCCGGCTGCTTAATTGCTCCAGATCTTCTTCGATAATCTTTATTCTCATAATAGTCACGTAGACACACAGCTTGGCACCAACTATTTAACATTCATCTGTATACAAACAGTACTTTTCACCAATGCATAACGTTAACAGCAGGGGGCCAGAGCAGACACCTGCACAAATCCACTGGTTTCTGTCCTCCAGAAGAGCTTTTACATTTTTGCTTCCTATTGTAAAGACAGGTTTCAGTCCAGTTGGGTAATTTACCGTTAACCTTATTACCTCTAGCTTTTAAAAAAAACAACTCAAATGTAAAATGTTAATAAATGATTTTTGAAAATCCAAATATATGATATTCACTTGGACAACTCTCACTAATTTTAGTTACTTCCTCAAAGAATTGCACCAGATTTTTGTGATTGCATCGGAATCCAACTCACTACTTTTTTATGGTCGCTGTGCTCTTCAGACGACATTGATAAAATCCTGTGTAATGTTCTTTCAGCACATCAGATTTTAGACTAACTGGTCCATCATGTCCAGGATTACAACTCCCTTTTATTTCCCTAAAGATTAAAATGTTAACCTTCTCCTGCCAGTGTGACAGTTCTGTTTCACATACTATATATCCTCATAGTCTATTTTAGTAAGACTGACAAATTAGTACTGACTCATATTTTGTGGAAGTCCATCCACTAAGACTGCACCTGTACATTTCACTTAGCACCCATAAAAACTTTCAGTGCCAGGCATTCATTCTGACTGTGTGTCAGTCAGTCAATGAATCTCAACCGCATTCATTAACCTCTTGGACTGGATTATAACAGTCCTATTTCAATGCACCTTTATTTTGAAGCCTAAAATAAGTCAGATGTACATGGGTTATATTAATATGCAGAAATCGCTAACAATCTTTTACTTTTTTAAGTGTTTAAAACTTCAATACGCCACTGGAAATAGATGCATTAAAAATCAGTACTCAGTATGAATTAAGTTAAATAAAACTTTCACAAATGATTATTCAGTTTGTTTGCATAGATTTTTTTTAAAAAACTTTGCAACCATGATTCTATTTTAAAAAGGAATCACCACCTCATTTATTGTTGATAACTAAGATGCTATATAAATCAATTACAAACATTTAAAAAAAAGTAAATACGCTTGGATCAATATCAGTTATCTAAAACTTCTGAGTTTCCATGATAGCGTGTGACCCTAAAATAACACGAGCTGTGCACGTAGAATGCAATCACATGTAAATATCGCCAGAAATGGCTGAAGAAATCGAACACCTCGTCCACAGGTCACTATAAATCAGATATTTACCTCTCGTTTGCGGTCCCTAAATGCTTTGGTTTTGAGAAATAATGGTTCATACCTCACACTCCCTGGAGCCAGATTTGGTATACGTGCAGGGAACTGTTCCGTTCATCAACATCTCAGCAACTTCGGAATTTGTAGGTTTATAATCAACATAATATTCCTGGGTGGTAGGTGTCATTTGTCTCAGCGACTGTCTTTTCTTTTTCCTGCGTCTCCTGACCAAAGACCGTTGCTGCAGTTGCTTTACACTCGCTGGATAACGCTTCCAGGACACATAGATCACAAGCAAAATCACCAACACAGACAAGAAAAGCGCCACACTTCCTGCTATGATTTTGTGAAAGGAGATGTGCTCAACAACATCTGCATCAGAGCTGGATTCCGGGGAAACCAAGGTTGCTGGAAGAGGTTTACTTTCATACTTAGGCCTTTCCGTGTTTGGCTTAAAAGTAGGTTTGGGCAGAGCTTTAGACACATCAGATGCACCCTGCGTGGTAATTTTGTGTTTTTTCACGCAGATATTATAGTGGTCAACTGCTTCCAAGACGTGCTCTCCCTGCAGCTGTTTTGGACCAGCACAGATCATTGTGCTTTCTCTCCTCCCTTTAAACATCTTCAGCCAGTTCACAAGGGAACATATGTTCCTGTTGCATTCCCAGATATTTCCCGAGAGGCTGATGGAAGTGAGGGATATGAACGAGTCCAGGATCTCCTGCCCGAGGGTGGTGAGCTTGTTGGAATCCAGATGCAGTGTCTGTAAGTTAGGCACACACTGAAACACGTTTGGTCCTATGGCTTGGATTTCATTCCCAGACAGGTCCAGCTTTTCCAAAGAGCTCCAAGTCCAGGACATGCCTTGGATCACGACGCTGATCTTATTCCACTGCAAGTAGAGGATCCGCAGGGTGAGCAGCCGTGGGAAGTGAGCCAGGTTGATCTTGGAAAACTGGTTGTGCTCCAGGTGCAGTTCAGTGAGCCTGGTCAGGCCCGCGAAGGCATTCCGAGCTAAACTCCGGATACGGTTGTATCCCAGGTCTAAAAATTCCAGGTTTCGGCAGTCTTGGAAGATTCGGACGGGGACTGTTCTGAGAGAGTTGGACCGCAGGTGTAAGCTCTGAAGTTTACGCAAACCCCGAAACTGCTCCGCTTCCAGAGACTGGAGTTGGTTGTACGATAGATCCAAATTGCGGAGGTTAGTGACCGGGCGGAAAGTGTTATTCAGCAATCGGGCGATTTTGTTGGAACTCAGGATCAGCTCCTTCAGTCTGCGGATCCCGTTAAACGCGTGTTCGTCGACGGCGCTGATGTAGTTGTGATCCAGGTACAGCCAAGTGAGTTGGTTGAGCCCCGTGAACTGGTTGTGGCTCAGCCTCTGGACGCTGTTGTACCGCAGCGACAGCCCCAGAGTGCCGGGCGAGATGTTGGGAGGAATTTCCTGCAGCGTTAGCGACTCGCAGTAGACTATTTTGCCGTGACACCGGCAGCTGCTCGGACACGCTCGCTCGGCGGCGGAGAGCACACTGAGCAGCACCGTCGGGGCTATCACCAGCACCGCAGCTCTTCCGCTCAACAGCCGAATTACGTTGAAATCTGAAACACGAAAAAGGGCTTCGGTAAAGTTCCCCCCATTCAACGGCGAAACCGCCTCTCTCTGACGCTTCACCGACTCCCCCCCCCCCCCCCCGACCCGACTCTCGGTGGTTTGCATCTCACGCCGTTGCATGTTTGCAACCCTATTTTTTTTTTTTTGCAATCACGCACAATAATGCATAGATATATATAAAAAAAATAGATAAGATTTTTTTTTGTCTTCAAGCCACGCGCAACTTTTGAAGGCGACTCCTCTCGCCTCTCGTTCGAATCGTTTGGGACGCACCGCGATCTCTGACGGGTTTTAACGCTGCCTCGAAGTTTCCCCCCCAAAAAAAAAAATTTTTTTTTTTAAAAAAAATATAATAAAAATAAACAAATGACCCCAAAAAACTTACCCATCCTTTGCGATTGCTACGCGGTGCTCGTGAGCTGTCTGGTGTCCTGTTTCAGAGCACCAAAAGCATGACCGGCTGTGTCGACTGCTCGGCAGTGAGTCCGGGTTGGCTGGTACCCAGGAATAAGGACCTGATCCCCTGGGAGATGGACAGTTTTTTTACACATTACTCTTTCCCGGCCATGTAAAGATAAATCAAGCTCTCACCGTGAAAGCAAAACGAAAAGGTCAGTTCTTCAGCCGCAGCGAACGCTTATCTTCCAGGATACCCCCCACCCTCCCCAAACCCTCCCCAAACCCGAGGAACCGTAGTGGTGTCGGTTCTCTTCCCACCACCGCGAACTGACTCCTCTCGCAGCGTTCAGCGCTGTGGATTCTTTTTTTTTACTGATGCGGTCAATGGTTCCCGTGAGCAGCCGATGCCGATGGTCCCTCTGGAAATGCAACTGTTCCAAACAGCGCGTCGGCAAAGCAGCGGTTCGTAATGCGAAGACGGCGCTCGTCCCCGTGCGCGGTCTCATCGCCGTGAGCTTCCTTACACTGTTGCTTCGGATGCGGTGAAGACAGCCCTTATGTAAAGCTGCCCCCACTGGAGAGAACTGTTATGGGCTTGTGCGGAAATCTCACCCATTGCATTCTTTCCGCTGCAAAACGTGTGAGCCCCGTACGAGAGGGTTTTAAGCAGGTTGTAGTTATTCCGGATTGCCTAACATATACATCTGATATTGAGCTTACAGCAGTTGCGATGTGCACTTGATTGAGGGTAAGGGGCTAAAGAAATCCATCGCACTGGTGTGTCTTTTGCTGAGTGTCAAAGCTCCCCAGGAATTTATCAAAATATTCTTACTTAATGTAATTTCTCATGAAAATAGAAGTTAAATGTAGATTTGAAAAGGAACTCCCGTATTCACATCAATGCATTGTTAGAATCGTTCTTTATATGATTGCATTACATTATAGAATCTAAAATCAGTAGCTAGCTATTTTATTACTGGATGAAAAGAACATATTTTCATCCAAAATACTCACTTATTGCATGATTTCACAAAATGATTAGAATTTGCATACCAATTAATAATGTCAAATACCATGGAAGTGAACTGAACCTTACATAATGGTACTGAATGGATTTGGTTGAGTAGAGCAGATATTATATGAAACTGAAGCTCACATGGAGTTCCTGGTACCTGCCATCCACCTTGTGAGGACGATCAATGGCAAACTATGTAGTTTTAGGTGCTTAAACCCCACCCCAGCCGTACCCCCAACGTACACTCTGGGTTCCCCAAGCCTTGGCTCCTGCCAACCTATGCCTAATACTTTCCAGAATTAGGTAAGCAAGATGTGTCCTTCCAGGGAAAGAGTGTGCATTCCATTCTAACAATAACTTATAAATAGCAACACACTTGAGCTCATAGTCTTGACTGGCACTCCAATGGCGTGCTGGAGAGCCCTGAAAGGTGTTAGATCAAATGCACGGATACGAAAATCCAATATATATAATTCAAAAGATGAGAATAAACACAAAATAGTTAGATTAAGGAGTTCTTCACAAAGAGTCTTAAGAGAAGGTAAGATGGCAAAACAGAAAGAAATCAAATCGCTGATAACAGTAAGTGAATCTAAAGATTATTTTTCAGCTCACTTAGCGGCAAAAGAGCTATTAGAGACCAGATCATCACTAAGGGAAGAGTTAGGTACAGATATAAACAATTAAAAGACCTATGTTATAGCTTTTACCCACCAGCTTTCAGAAATAAAGATTGTTCAAAATGAAATTCTTGATGATTTAGCTCTGGCTTCTTTAATACCTGTAGATAACCTCAGATTGGGTGTCATCTTGGCTCATTTGAGAGAACTCTTACCTCTGGGTGAGGTTATTTGGGAACTTGAATCTACATTCTAAGGCAAGCTATCCAGTGCAGGATTAGGGAACACACATGTTTGATGTTGTGTTTTTGGATGAGAGATTAAACTGAGATCCTGTATGCCTGTTCTTCAAAGGAGGCTTAAATCTAGAACAAGTGAATTCAGAAGACAGCAAGTGGTAAAACAATTTAGATTTAATTACTTTACACAGAGAGGAGTGAATATGTAAAATTGACTACACAGAGAAGTCATGGAGGCAGATTGTGTCAACACATCCAAGAGGGAATTGGATACCTATTTGGTAAATAAATTGATTGATGAGGTTGTAAGAAAAGTGCTGCTATACATATCCAAACATGTATCCAATATGTAAGAAAATTAGTTCTACATCATACAATGCTCAGGATATAAGAACATGGATAGTGGATATATATCAAATATACCCACCTCCTTTTGGATACTTGATGATGATGAAGATCCCCAGAATGCTGGTAAATGGCTTGTGGAGATGCTTTGAATTGAATTGGAGATGCTGAAAGTGTAACTTTAATTCAGAATTAATCTTCAATTAATCAAATTAATCAATTAAGTGATTAGGACAAACACAACCTCCAGTCAATTCTCCTGAGGTCGATTCCAGACCCTACCTCCTTAAGACTGGTTTATGACCGATACAGACTTCTTAATGGATCAAAGGATCTTTCAACAACAGACAAAACGGTTTGCTCTGGCAGGCTTTAACCCTCTGTTGTCCTTGAAGAATCAAGAAATTGAAAAACCACAAACAGAGGTGCAAAACTAGGTTAATTCATTAATCATTAATTTAAATATAACATTGTGAGTGACAGACAATAACACAAATACAATATATCATCATGCAGCTGGATTCAAACCTAAAGGGATTTTAGTTGAGTTTGAATGCCCAAGAAACAACAACAGCAATAACAAGATTCCATTTATAAAGCACCTTTCATGTCAGGAGGACGTCCCAAGGCGCTGGACAGTTGGGTCAGGACCCGAGCAGGGGGAAAACGGTCAGGGTGGGGGGAGGGAAGGGAGGGAGCGAGAAGGGGGAAAATGGTTAGGGTGAGGGGAGGGAACGGAGGGGGCGAGGAGGGGGTAGAGAGTTGAGAGGGGAGCTGAAGGCACGGTCAAAGAAAAAGGTCTTGAGACCGGTCTTGAAGGAGGAAAGGGAGGAAGCAAGGCGAAGGCACTGGGGGATAGAGTTCCAGAGCCTAGGGGCTGAGAGGCTGAAGGCCCTGTACAAGTCCACCCATGTGGATTTGTGTATTAACTCAGGAGGGCAAGAGCAACCTTTGCAAGCTGTTCTGCAGCTTTTCATTTCCCCATGGTGTGATCAAGCAAGTCATCATTTGTTCCTCCACTAGTTTTTTCACTCATCTCTTCAGATCTTCTATCTTGGATCTTCCCTCACTGTCACTGTTCTTTAGCAGCTAACAGGTAGCTTTAACTTTGATAACAAGGCTGCAGTATTTTACTTCGTTGTAACAGATTATTAGAGTCTGGCTTTCTTCAGCCTCTCCAACGATTTTTTTTCTGAATCTGAATCTCTCTCTGTCAGAATCTAAATCTCCCTGTTTATCTGAATCATCCTGTGTATGTTATGTTCACCTGGGTTCACAGTACTCCTAGGTAATATCACTGATCAATATTCAGAGTAGCTTCCAGTCAGGTGCCATCCTTTTTTGATTGACAGCTGTCATTAACTTTTTTTCTTCTTGGGATTGGTGGGTCATTTGGTTGTTCTGACACTTCGAGATAGGAATTTGGATTAATAGAAGTCCAAAATCTATTCATCCTTTTAATATATGTATACAATCATCTTCTCAGCCATTTCAGCCCAAAGAAGGTAATTATCTTGCCTGATATATTGTTTCAGGTGACATTGCTGTCCTAGTGTCTATAGCAAATGCAAATGTAAACATTTTTAGTGTCAATTGGCTGATAAAAAAGTGATTCTCTTGTTGATTCCTTCTTATGATCCCCTTGTTTTTCTTCATCTCCTGTCTGGTTAGTATCACAAACTGACCTCTCTGTATCTCTCGGACTGGAAATCTTTGCACATTCTTACCCACCAGACATCGCAATTCGTATATTGACTAAAATTAACTTGTTTATACCAACCACTGATCTGCTGCATTGTCAATTATTTTACTTTGGGCCTGCAATCATCCTGTGTATGTTATGTTCACCTGGGTTCACGGTACTCCTAGGTAATATCACTGCAAATACCATGCACTGTGTGCAAACTGCTCAATTATATGCTTTGGAAACAGGAGGGGTGCCACCACAAACACTGAGAGATCCTGTTCAATGCTTCTTGTAATATTGTAAACTGTACTTATGGTAACAAGCTATGTGAAGTCCTTCATGCAGTGGTTAGTGCATTCGCCTCACAACCAAGAGGACCCAGGTTCGTCCCAGGTAGGGCAAAACCTTAGTTAAGTTTCCTTACTTCACACGCCTGTTTACCTAGCAATAAGTAGGAGCCCAGTTGTTAGTTGATTGGCGGATCGCTTTGCAGGGGTAATAATTCCTCCTCCCCCCACTCCCCCCACTCAATCCACTACTGTTTAGGGGACACTGCTGTACACAATTGGCTACCATATTTCGCCCGCAAATAGTCAATTCCCTTTACAATATATTCAGTGAAGCACTTTGAGACGGTCCAACGAAGTCATAAGGCACTGTATCAAATGCAAAGATCATAATTTTTATTATTATTATGTAGGTGTCATGTCAGAACATATATAGCATTCATTTTCTGATAAATGGAAGTATGTTGTGGCAACATGTGGGGTCTCTGCTATGGAAATAGATTGTATCAGTTCAAAATTCCCATGGATTGGCATAGTGTAGTTTGATTCTTGTGACCAAAAGTCTATCAAGCAATCTTGTTATGAATTGCCCGAATTTAGACCCCATTTTGTTCTTTTCATGTGGGGTCCTGTGACTTAGTGGTTAGAGTACTTGCCTCGCAAGCGAGAGGATCTGGGTTCGATTACCAGGCAAGGTGAAACATTGGGCAAGTTTCATTACCCCACAAACCTCTGTTTATCTGGCAGTAAGTAGGAACCCAGTTGTACGATGATTGGCGGATTGCTTTTCCAGGGGTAATAATCCCTTCAAAAAATATAATAAAATAATAATAATTTGATCACTCAATCCACGGTTGTTTGTGGGACACTGCTGTGCGCAATTGGCTGCCACATTTCACCCACAAAAATATATATATTCAGTCAATTCAATTCACGGTATCATCTGTGAAGCACTTTGAGATGTCTAGAAGGCGTGATAAGGCACTACATCAATGCAAGGATTATTATTCTTATTATTTTCAGGTGAATTGTGTTTAAGAGCAAAAGTAGAGCAAGGGTA